TTCCTGCCTATGCAGGGGGTCGGACTCGATGATCTATTGAGGTCCCTTCCGACCCTAACATCTATGAATCTATGAATCTATAAGATTGTGTTGCCAAAGAGTCAGGGCAAGGAAGAGCAATGAATGGATGGGACCTTCAGCACTGGCTAGTGAAGAGAACCAGCAAGAGGGGCAGAGCCCCTTGCACGTTCTTCAAATGGTGGCAGTGTCCATGTCCTTAGAATTGCAGAAGCTCCAGCTGCAGCACAGCACACCACATGCATTATGTCACACACACAGTAAGGTCCTCGATTGAGTGCTGCCATTTAGCTCTTTGACTTAACTGTTCCCTGGGATTAGTGCAAATATGAAGCCCTGACTTGAAGCTCTGGTGGACACTAAGGAAAAAAATGCCTAGTAAAGAGCTAGAGACCATGTCAGAAACCTCCCTTCGCCAAAAGGATTAAGCAGCAAGACTTTTTGACCCAACTGAAGCACATTCATTCTCTCTTCCCTGCAGGATGCAAGGGATGTGAGACTGTACTGAGCATTTTAATCAACCCTCAGACAGCCACAACTAGGGTAATATTTTTGCATACAAACTAGCTAAGGTTACTTAATAACTAGCAAGTAATCAGGTGGTACCAGAAGGGTCAGGCAGGGATTTTTATTTTTCTGCCTTTATTTCACACTGGAGCTCTGGACAGCGTTTATAGGTATTGCATTCTGATAAAACAATTCCATCCCACACAGGCGCAGTCATTACCTTATTCCAGCACTGGAGCTAATAGCTACACCACTATACACTTGGTGGGAGACCCATATCCAGCTTCCCATGTAATGTTTCTTACAGCAGGAACAAGAATTTATTGGCTTCCAACAGTACTTTTACAAAAAATAGCTTGAGAATTCCTTTTGCTCTCCTTTATGTGCACTTTGTCAGACTGAGGAGTTTGTTAATGAGGATCTGACTTATAAACTCTGGGGGGTTTTAAGCAAGGTGAATGTGTTGGGTTCAGTGTTAAGAAGAAGAGCCATTAACTTAGTTTCTGTAACCTCAGATTAAATGCCCTAGTTCATTTTCTGTCCCTTAATGCAAATGACTACTGACAGGACAGATTTTGAGTAAGCACAAGCAAGAGAGAACATAATGACCTACCCCCCAGCACATCACAGTCGCTGTCCATGCTGTCATGTACACCTGCAAAGATGTTGGCCAGGGAAGATTTTCCTACTCCTTGCTCCCCAATCAGTACCACCCTGTAGTAGCTATTTCCAGACTCAGAGGAGATGACCGAATCAGAAGACTCAGATGACCAGCTCCTTCTGTAATAATCTTCTGGGTTGTATGTATATCTTTTACGCACGTTGTACTCGTGGGGGTCCTTGTGGACAAGCAGGTGCCTTCAATCAGCCGGAGGAATGCTCCAGCGCTGTTGCTGCGATTGCAGAGCGCTGTTGCTGTGCCGCAGGGTGACATTGTTCAGTGTCATCCTTCTGTCCCTAGGGAAGAACATAGAATTCACTGGTATTAGGCAACATGCATTTAGACAGCACATACACCGTCTTTCTTATTCACTTTAGCGAGGTACTTCCTCCTCTTCTGCAAACCCCTAGTGTACAAATGAAAGGAGGGTAAAGTCTGCCTTTCTCATTCACTTCTACTCCATGTAGTTACACAGAGATACACCTGATTATCGAGAAAAAAATAGCCTTTTAGTATATATGTGCTGAAGTTACACACACATGATCACACTACTTGAAAATAGTAAGCCTAGTTATGCCTTTGATCAGGGTTTTCCAAGGAAGGTGAAAATCAGCATTCCACCTCATTGCACCATCTCATGTATTTGATGTCTTATCTGACATTATAGTTACAACTTACATGACACTTCTGACATTATTTTGCTTCTTTCCTCTTTAAAAGATAGTGCTGAATATTAGGTATAGCCCCACAGGAAGGAAAGTGTGGTACTGCATACAGGATCATTAAGTTCCCTGCGTGCTGGTCTCTACCCAGTTTAAGATAGTGTGAACTCCACAGATCGCACTGAGGGAGCAGTCCCTGTGACCCCCCCTATGCAGATACTTTAATTGTATTTAGTCATGACAAACACTGTGCAATGAGGTGAAGTTTCCTTGCACTCCTCCCTATCACTGCATCCCCAGGGGGGAACCAGCACAGTCTGCCACTGGTTTTGTAAAAAAAATGAAAAAGGCTTCTTGCTTGCAGTCTGATGTTTAGTCTCAGCTGAGAGTTGAATCTTTTAGTAGAGCAATAAACATGGCACTTTATAGGTTTAGATTATCTTCAGCAAAGGAAAAGTATCAGGTAGCATGGCCTTGTCATAATCAGCTTGATGCTGTTCTCAGAATAAACCTGTTGTGTACAATGACTATGAAATCTATCAAATTAAGCTGATGAAAGCAAGATGAGAAAGCCAGATGGATTCTCCGGGGGGTTTCCCAATCTCACCACGAAAAGAGAGATCACTGGGAGAAAATTCTCACATAAATTTATAGTGTTTAAATCAACACATTAATTTAGCTCCGGAGCAGCTAATAGGTTAACTCCTCTCATCTAAACATGGTTCTTAATTACATTTGATTTTTCAAATCTATTTGGCCTTGGCTGGTGGCAGAATGCAGTGATGTCATTCCTATTGGTCCATACCTACCAATTTTAGGAAAGTTACTTTGACGCTTTGCAGCTCCCAAACTGACAGCTATTTAGACATTCAGCTTTTGGGGGCATAAGTTTGATGTTTCTCAGCTCTTGTCTTTGTATCAGCAAATAGAACATCTGCCACTAAAACATACAGGGGCAGGGCTGCTTTCAAATATTAATATTAATTTTGTGTTTGCAAAAAAATGCAGCATCCTATCAAGTCACAGAGGCTAAAATTTCATAGGCAAGCAAGTTTTTTAAAAACTTCTGAGAGCAGGCACAGAGCAAACTATATAATAAGCATGCAGGGGAAAAAGCCCTGCAATTTGGATTTCTGTATTTACAAAATATACTGCCTCATTTTAATAACTTCCAACATATGTCATTTTCTTGTGGTGATGCACAACATTTGTTACAAAGTGAAATCATCTGTATTCCACTTGGTCACACAAACTTTCCCCAGCAAGACAGGCTTTTGCAAGAAATCAACCACCAAACAAATTCTGCTACACAAACAAAATGAAATATTTACTTCATTTTAACTTGAAAACATTTATTGCACTATAATTTCCCTGTTGAAAAGTTGGATGAAAATTGCCAGTTGTGATTTACCTAAATAGTAAATAGCCCATGTTATTTACACTTTTTTTATAAAGGATTTACACCCAGGATAAACTCAGCAAAGCTAGCAAAATAAGACAATGACCGAAAATGTATTATAATGCCTAAAATTCCAAGCTTAAACTATATTCAAATTATGCATTTAGTTTATCTATCTAGCTCTATAGCCCATCTACCATAAAGCAGTGTATTCACATCAAGACTTTTCAGCCAGCACCACCTTACTTTTTACAGTCTCTTCCACTACAATCAGCTCCTTTGCTCTCACTGTCTCTCCCTGTGGAGTGTAGTATATTGAACGGTCTGCTGAAGTAAATCCTCTCCTGTTTCGTGGCTGCCTCTTTAATTCTTTCTGAGCAAACCTGGTTTATATTAAGCCCATCTGATCAGAGACAGGGCTTTTCCGTGACGTTGTTGGCCGTCCACATGAGAGCCAGCCCCCAGCTGGGAGGAAGCAGGCATTCAGAAAAGAAAAAAAAAACTTACAGAGATTAAGAGTGAAAAAAACACTTACTTGTGGTCATATGATTCTTTTTCTTAATAATGCCAGTAAAATAAATACTTTCTCTTTTTCTGATGGGAAAACAGGAAAATGGAAAAATACAGTAAGAAACATGTCTTCACAAGTTTCTTTTGGCTTTGGCCAGAGGTGCTGTTGAAATTAATTGGGGTCTAAAGAATTACTGCTGCTTCTCAAATGCCAAATGTCAGTACAATATATTGCACTATCAGATTCCAAAAGGGAATGAACTCCATGCTGGAAACCTCATCTCCTGAATCTTTGATCATTAATTTGTAATTATTTGGAAATGTGAGATTTTAATTCATTTGTCATTGTAACAATAAGTAATCATGTAGGATCCCATTTTTCACTTCCCCTACAACCTGCAAGCCACTTTATACAACGACACTACCCTCTTTTTGTGTGGCCAGAAACTGATTGACCTCTTCGTTACTCCATTTTTTGCTGGTCTTTGCTGGTTACTCCATTTTTTACTGGTTCATGGGTATTAATGGAGCTATTCTGCTGTAGGACTGGAGTAGGTGAGGGCTACTCTATGAATCTGTACTGAATCAAGTCCATAATTTATCAGAAAAGGTGACAATATATTGTGCAAAACCAAATAAAAACTTTAACTATCGTAAAACTCAGTAATGGCAAGGTGTTTTACCAAGGTAAGGACAGCATTATTTAGCCTTTAGTACTATACAGTTAAGGATATGTGGAAAAATGTTCATTGATTATATTGATAAAGACTGTGGATATTCCCTTATTGACATTGAATAAGGTCTCCAAATGTCCCATGATGACACATAACATTTTCACTAGTCCTGCACTAAAAAATCTGCACGGACAATGCAACCTATGGCTGAACACAGGCAAGGATGTTTTTGTCATGGCCCTGATTATCTTCACATTCCCTGGAGTAAATCAAGAGAGACTTGATAAATAATCCCCACCAGGATAAGAAGAGAAGACTATAGCCCCCTCCCCACTTTGTTTTCTGTCTCATTTCTAAAACTGTACATCCCTGTGCTGCCATTACAAGTCTGTCGCACTGAATTGTGATGTTATCCGGAGATGGAAAGCCACAAAACTCTTCAATAAAAGTAGATCTGTTATGCTTTTTGGCTTGGTGTGGGTGGTGTTTTACGTGAGTATTTGCAGGGATCTTTTTCGTGCCTGTTCTCAAACATACAACGACAAGAACATTTTCCAAAACAATATGCAAGCAGTAAAGTAAATGCAAGTTAATCAAATCTTGCAGGGGGAGAATAGGATGAGAAGCAGCATCCACCGTTCCTTCCAGCATTCAGACTGGGTTGCAGGATAGACAAGGAAGTTAATCAGAATTCCAAGCACTAGCCCTCCCCTTCTATTGTTCCCCAGCACGTTCTGTGTTTCCAGAATCTGGGAGTTATTGGATGGCGACATCAGTGAGCAACATGTGCATGAGGAGCAGCCTCTTACACGATCTGCTGTACCTACAGAACTGCAATGAACGCTGCCCTGTATGGCACTGCAAACATTTTTGTAAAATCCCTGTCTGGTCAAGTTGACTATTTTATTAGATGAGCTGCAGGCATCAGAGGCTGCATTTAGCTAAGACTTCACATGTAGGACACCTGCTTCTTCAGCTGCTTATACATTTGGCTTCACTTTCTGATTTTTCTGGAGCTTTGGGAACTAACCAGAAGGCATGCAGCTAACTGGGTGGCTACACTGCCCTGTTTTGTAGTTTGTGCTCATTTGACCCCTTTTAAATCTCTCATAATGTGTCATTCTGAATAAGAAAATAACCCTTTTGCACCACAGGAACCAGATGGTTTATGGCCAGCCTGTTCATGCTGAGCTAGACTCTGAGGGTATCCCCTGGATGTTGGAACTAGCTAATACTAGAAAGCACACACTGTAGCACTGGAGCCAGGAAATAAACCTTACATCAGTAAAGCATTCAGATTTAGTTATGGTCAATGTTAAGAACACTGCCTTGCATAAATTCTTCATAATATGTAAGAGTTCTTTAAGGGCAGAAGAAAAAATCACAGCCCTGTAGTGGGCACATATAGTCTATCTCTACCATAAAACTGTCAATGCCCCTGCCTTGGTATGTTGGAAACTTGCATACATATTTTTCCTTTTGTTTTTGTTTTTGCTTTCCTCTTTGAAGGCCCTTTGCTGTTTTTCTGACCTGGTGATTAACTCTTTCTTTGTCATTCTAGGCTGGATTCTATCACTTTTCCTCATGTGGAACCTTATTCCTCAAGCCCTTCCAGCAGTTCACCATGATGAAGGATGGCAGAGCTGGTCCAATGTATTCTTGATTTTTTTTTAAGGGGAGGCTGGGTTAGGGGTGATGTGCCACATTTCCAGCCTGGGATTCCTTAGAAAACTAGAAGCTTGGTGGAAAAGATTAATTAAACCTACAAAGTCCATCTGTCTAAGTAAAGCTGATTATGTGCTTGGATTTCCAACTGACACATGCAGAATTACGTGATCTTGAATGGGATTTCTCTCTTGCCCTCCTAATTGGGCAATAGTTTTGCTATCAATAGTAACTTAACTGAACAGCTAACTAAAGCTGGTGGAAACATAAGCACCAGTAACTTCAACACTGAAGCATGCGTGAGGAAGGAGACCCCATATAATGGACGGCATTTCATAGAATCATAGGAGACACGAATGCTCAGATACTACGAATACTAA